GTCGCCCACCCCAAGGCATTGGGCGGACCGCAGTGCTACGACATCGGCTCTGACGACGCCGTCTCTGTCGGAGGGCGAGGTGATGCTGGAGGCGATGCCGTCGAGGCTGATCTTCCCGCAGGGCGTCTTCCAGGGGTCGATGACGGTGGATTTGGTCAGGAAGCCGTGGGTGGTGTCCAAGCCGTTGGCGACGGAGGAAAGGGTGCCGCATGAGTCCTTGTCCATCGCGCTGGTGGCCGAAACGAAGGACGAGCAGCAGCGGGGCTTCCCTGATGAGGTGCAGTCGAAGAAAGAGGACAGCCACGCGAAGTAGGCCCTGTCGGCGCCACCCGGCTGGTGGGGTGCGCTCGCGTCCCCGCAAGAGAGGGCCCAGGCCGACGAACTGCCTGCGCGGAGCGAACCGCACAAGTTGCCGAAACAGGAGGTGCAGATGGTGACGAAGGTCATCCTGAAGTGTGGGCAGTGTTTCTTGAGGAGCGCGAAGCAAGAGCCGTCGGTCTTCAGCACGGTCGACCGCGAGGTCGAGGCGAAGACTGCGGTGGAGGCCGCCATCTTGAGGCCCAAGTATGCAGCGAAATTGAAGAAGACGAAGCAGGATCCGATGGAATTCGATCATGTGGGAGTGGTTCTCTCGGGCCTTCCCGGGGCCAGGCGTTCACGGTCGGACTCGATCCGCCAGGAGTTAGTGGTGATAGAGGGAGACACGCAATTGCGGCCCAGCTTCCCGACGGCGCCGTGGGCCACCAAGCGGCAGGTGCGCGCGGAATCGGCGAAGTCGCGCTCGATCTCGATTCCGCGTCACAAGAGAGGGTGGAACGCCTACGGGCGGAAGAAGCGGAAGCGGAGGTGAATGTTATCAGTGCTGAGCCTGGTGAGGTCAGCGATGTATCGCTCGCCGCGGGCGCTGGTTGCGCCCCTCGGCGAGCCGACCGCGTGCTACGCGTGTGCGGGTGCAGCCGGCGGAGGCCGGGACCGTGAAGTGCGAGCCACCGTTGAACAGACCGACGGCCTCAGCTACATCGGGGGACGAAATCTATACATATCCACTGCTCCCTGGCCAGGCCCATCCTGAACCCAGGAGCTGTGTATACGCCCTCCTGGCCAAACCAGGAGGGCGTGGCGTATACACAGCTGCTGTGTTCAGGATAGGCCTGGCCAGGGAGCAGTGGATATGTATAGATTGCGTCGCCCTACTACAGTCGCCCGTTGGACATGGTGTTTGGCTGCTGGAGGCGGGCCATCCAGTACCAGTCCGAGGTCCCGCTCGAGGCGGCCAGTGCGTCACAGGAGTGGGACATTCAGAAGGTCAACGTCGCCGTGGGCGCATTCACCGAGCTCTACCATGACTCGAGCGGCCAGTGCGACAAGAAGTCCAGAAAAAAAGGGCAAGTGCAAAAAACAGTTTGCCGCTAAGTTCGAGCCAGGGTCCCCGTCGGGTCACCGTTCGGAGTCTGGCGGCAAGCAGGTTGGGTGGAAGGGCCGTGGGCCGTATCCCACGGAGGATGCCCAAATCAAGAAAACCACTGGCGTGGAGGGGGCCGCGCTGGGGGCTCCGGCGGCATCCTCCGAGCAGTTCGAGAAGATCGAGAAGATGCTGGTGCTCTGCCCGAGCTGTGAGTTCGAAGAGAGGCTGGAGAAGGCGCTCGGGCCAGGGGCCCAAGGGATCTTCGGCCTGGTGCAGGTGGCCAAGAAGGATGCCTCGGAGGCGTTCGGGGGGGCCCGGCGGGGCAGTTGAGCACGGGCCGTCCCAGGTTTTCGGGTGCCGCGAGCGGGAGTGGTATTTTTGGTGGGGTGGTTTCCTCGTGCAGCCACCCCTGGATTCGGGCCCTCTCTGCTTGCCGAGGAGAGGTGGCTTCGGGTTGCGTTTGGCACCGGCCAGGTGCCATCTGGCTCGCGGTGTGTCCTTTCCCCCTGCTCGCGGGACGCGGGGGAGCATGCTCCATTTTCTCATCCACCTTATCCACCTTCGTGATTGTTTTGTCCATCCTCCTCCGATGCCTGCTCATCCGCCTCCCACTGCTGCGTCGCCTCCTCTCGGCGCCGCTTGGTTCCTGGGTCTCTCGGGTAGTAGTCGCCCAGGCCACGTGGAATTGTTGCGACCATATTTTTCTGATGGGATAGCTTCCATCTCCGACTGCGCAGCAAACGAGAGGAGAGGACCGCTCTTACTGCCAAGGTGTAGGACACCTCAGTCGGCGGATAGAAACGGATTCAATGCAATGGAAAGAAATGGGCGGAAACAGTTGGATGTAAAATGTGGCGTGGCTTCGCCCAGCTGCCCCCCCCACCTTCCTCCCCCTCCACAGTTACACGGTACCTATGCGACCACCTTTCGGGTGATAAAGGAGGTTGTGTGGGGGGGGAGGGGGGAACCACAATCTGATTCAATCGATCTCACTATCGATCTCACTCAACGAGACACCACCACGAGACACTTGTCGATCTGATTATCGATCTCACTATCGATATCATCCAACGGGACAGTACGGGATAGCATGGGCCACAAGGGGACACCAGGGGACACCTCGGGACACCACGTTGATCTCGCGATCGATCTTACTATCGATATCACTATCGATCTCATTCAACGGGACACCACGGGACACCACGGGACACCTGTCGATCTCACTATCGATCCCAGTATCGATCCCACTTTTTAGGACACCGCGGGACACCTCGGGGCACCACATCGATCTCAGTATCGATTTCACCAACGATCTCACAATCGATCTCATTCCACTGGGCACCACGGGACACCACAGGACATTTGTCGGTCTCACTATCGATCTCAATATCGATTTCATTCAACTGGCCACCACGGGGCACCACGGGACACCGTTAGGGCCACCGCTGGACGGACGGAGGATAATTTTTTGTTTGACTTCGCCCTAGCAGCGGCGGACACCACGGGACACCGCGGGACACCGCGGGACATCGTCGGACGGACGGAGGAGCATCATTTGTCTTGGTTTCGCCCTAGCAACGCGGACACCACGGGACACCGCGGGACACCGCTAGGGCCACCGCCTGACGAACGGAGGAACATCATTTGTCTTGACTTCGCCATAGTCGCGGCGGGTTAATTCTTCTCGAGTGCCCACGCAGCTTCGCCCCGCCCGCACGCACGACACGAACGAAACGAAACGACTTCCTGGTTTGGGGTTTCCGTTCCGTTGCGATCGCACCCCCGACCTCCGATGAATATTGCTCTCCTCTCTTCCCTGTTGACGTCCCGAAGATATTATGCCCCTCTCCACGTATCGGTTGTCTACACACAGGATTCCCGAAAATTGGGTTTTTGGGTGGGTTTTTGTTTCAAAATGATGCTCCAGCTGAAACGCTGCCATCTATTTCGGCTTTCCGCTCGTTCCGAATCGTGTTCCCGCTGCAGCGGTGTCCTCATTTCCGCATTCCCGCTCGTTCCGAATCGTGTTGCCGCGGCAGCGTTGGCCTAATCTGCTCGTTTCCAAATGTGTGTTTGGCAATCCGATTATTCTTTTCGGTCCTTCAAAGTGTTGTTCCTGCTGCAGCGCTGGCCCCATTTTCTGTGCTTCTGGTTGTTCCAAAACGTGCACCCGCTGCAGCGCGGGCGTTTTCGGTCCTTCCGCATAGGCCCCAAATCTGAAAAATGCCCCCCAAAAAACATCGCAAGTGATTACACATCCGGTGCCGATTCGTTGAGCTTCTTGGACCGAAAAAGATTCCCCCCTTTTGGGGGGCTTTGGCGCTTAGAGGAGGTATCAAGCGGGAGTCCCTTTTCTATTTTCAGAAGGCGATGTTGCAAGCAGAGCCAGCAGGTGCTCTCTATTTGCCCGCCTTGTGGGGAGCTTGTCACGGAGTTCAGGGAGCTAAACATAGAGCCGCGACTCCAGACCGGCCCCTACCCTTCGAAGACGATCCACTTACCCTCCAAGGAGCCCGGCGCCCTGCCATGACATGCTTTGCGGTGTTCTGTTCAGCGCCGCTGTGCGATGCCATGCTTTGCGTTGCAATGCTTTGTGATGCAATGCTTCACTACGCAATGCCACGCCATGCTTTGACATTCTACGTTCTGCCGAGATCTTCTACGCCATGTCATGCCGTGCTCTACGATGCATCGCGCACCTTCTCACGATCATTGTCCTGCTCGACATCCGACTGCGGGAATCGAGAGGAGATCTCCGCCACCGCTTTCCCCCAGCCGTGGCGACGAGAGCTGCCCAGAAGGCCCCAAAAAACACCGAAAGGTAACACACATTTTTTTTGTCCGATGTGGGACGACGACACGGCGACCACCATCACCAGCACGACCTCGACGACGAGGATGACGAGACCTGGAAATCTCCCGTGCAGGCCGGACGTCCTGTGGCGGGCCCCTCGTGCGTGCTCAGGAGGCGGGACCTGACGACTCGGACTAATCTTTCTTTCGTAGGCTGGTGTCTCCCGCCGCCGCCAGACGTCTTGCATTTGGTGGAGTCGAGCTGTTGAGCTCAACAAGAATCCTGTGGCGGGCCCCAGAGGCCCTGAAGGGGCCGAAAACGCCCAGCCTTTGTCTTCCTCTCCCCCCCTTCGCCCTCATCGCTCCCCTGCCGTCCTCGCGTCGTGAAAAAAGATATAGCGGCGGCAGAATTCGGGTGATTTTCTGGCTTCCCGGGGCCTATGCCAGGCGCCGGGGCTGTCGGACACCGAGGCAGAGAGAAACTGCGGCCCCCCGGGAAAGGGGTGCGGACCTCCGGGGAGCCACGCTGAACAAAAATCACGACGCCGAATGTCTGTGTCCCTTCGGATGCAGCTCCCGGGAGGGTTGGTTCAGCATCGGTGCTGGTATGGCCGTGATCGGAAAGGGGCCCCACCCGGCCGCATTCCGTGGAATCCCGATGTTATGCGGATTAGCCCCCAGGCTTCCTTGAGCCTGGTCTGGCTCACTCTTGATTTGGCACTGCCCTCGCTCGTTCTTGCGAAGACCTCCCAGAAGTTGCGCCCCCCCCCCCCATCCCCTCCCCTCCCCCCCCCTCCCCAAGTCTGCGGACCTGCCCGCTGTGGAGATGCTGCTCGCGGCCGGGGCCAGTCCGCAGGCAAAGAACAACAGAGACAGGACCCCGCCTTGCGGGCGGGGGTGCTTGGGAGGGAGAGAAGACGCTCCGCGAGGAGGAGGAGCAGGAGGAGGAAGAGAGGAGGAGGAGGAAGGAGGAGGGAGGAGGAGAAGGAGGGGACGGAGAGGAGGACCAGGAAACGAAAGGAGGAGGAGGAGGAGAAGGAGGAGGAGGAGGAGGAAGAGGAGGGAGGAGGAGCAGGATGAGGAGGAGGAGGAGCAGGAGGAGGAAGACGAGGACGAGGACGAGGACGAGGAAGAGGAGGAAGAGGAGAAGAGGAGGCGGGAGGCCGGAGGAGAGAGGAATGAGAGGAAAGAGAGGAAGAGGAGGAAGAGGAGGGAGGAGGTAGGGGGGCAGAATAAGGAGAGAGGATAGGAAGGAGGGACTAGGCGCGGGGAGGAAGAGGAAGAGAAGGAGGAGGAGGAGGAGGAAACAAGAGGAGGGAGGTTGAAGAACGGAGGCGGGATGAGGGAGGCGGAAGGAGGGAGGAGCAGGAGCAGGAGCAGGAGGAGGAGGGAGGAGGAGGAGGAGGAGGAGGAGGAGGAGGAGGAGGAGGAGGAAGGGGAAGGAGGCAGGAGGCAGAAGGAGGAGGGAGGGAGGAGGGAGGTCGTCGTCGTACCGAGGTATGAACGCGAGGCTGTGCTCCCTTGAACCGACAAAACAGAAACGAAGAGGGTAGCAGGAGGCCTGCCAGGGTGCTCTGGCGAGGTGCTCCTCGCGGGCGCACGCCTGGGCCGTGGCGCTCCTGCGGCGGAGGGGGGATGGCGACCCTCGCCTGCTGCTTCTCCGAGAGCTGGGGAGGGGGAGGAGGAGGAGGAGGCGGCGGCGGAGTCGGAGGCGTAGGAGGCGGAGTCGGAGGAGGACGAGGAGGACGAGGAGGAGGAGGAGGAGGAGGAGAGTAGGAATAGGAGCAGGAGGAGGAAGAGGAGGAGGAGGAGGAGGAGGAGGAGGTGGAGCTGGCGATCGGGATGAGGGGGCGGAGTCGGAGGCGCAGGAGGCGGAGGCGATGGGACGAGTGGGGAGACCTCCAACGCCCACTGCTCGGTCGTAGTCGTCCAGCTCTGTGAGTGGTCATGCCAGGAGGGGTCCAACGGCGCTTCCTGGTCCGCCGTAAAACTCCATTCCCCCCGGCTCCTGGGGAAAAACGATGAATTTCAGGGTCAACCCGTTTTGACGTTCCCTGATCGCGCATGCCGCTTGCAAAGTCTGGAGCTAGGGCAAATTCCTGATCACATTCTCCAGTCCATGGAACATAGGCATGCGTGATACTGTCTGTCAAATCTTGGCGGGTAGCCTCAAACGCAAAGTCTGCGGCTTCCTCTGATGCCTGCGACACACTGTCTGGTATGGCTTCGGCTGCTGCTGGGGAAGGTTTCTTCGACGGTTCTCCAAGTCCCGTCCGCCGTGCGACCCAGGAGCGTCAAGTGGGAGACTTTGCCATGAGAACATCTACCCAGACCTGGCGTGGAGCGGAGCGCCTCCTGGAGCTTAGGCATACGTATTCCTATCATGCGTGTCGGTGCTCTTCCGACTGTCGCCATGTCTGCGTTCGTTAGTTGGTGTTTGCATTGATGGAAGTCGGTGGCGGAAGCAATTGGAGAAGCGACGAGAGCGACTAGGGGAGGACACCTCCATGAGGTGGGGGCCGATCTAACCCACGTCGCGGTGATAGAGTGATCCATCCACCCCCCATTCCCAGCACTTACGGTGTTCGGACAGCAAGAACTTAAGCATGCAGTAGCTGTCCGCCAACTCTGAATTGCTCTTTGGCTTGACGGTGCAACCTAGGATCTTTGATGGTGGCATCGTCTGTGAGATCTCCTCTGGTAGCCTCTATAGCCTCTATTGCGATGTCCAGGGACAGACAAGAAAGCTCCCACTGAGGCGAGGGATGGGTGGAGGAAAGATGCCACTGTATGTCCCGACCTCAAAGGAAGATGGAGAAGAAGCACATTGCGGGCGACTGATGTTGTACGGGATAGGTTCCGCCGACATCTCGGAAATCTTGAGACCGAAAGGGCCAGAACCTATCGTCGGGCGAAACGTCCTCGACGCCGTCCTGGACCCCCCTCCCAGACAGAGCCAAGTACCTGGAAGCGGCTTATAACATCCGACCGAATTAGCATTTCACGGGCCTCAGCATCAGTCAGCAACGTCACGACATTTCGAGCGAATGGATCCCTGGCAGCTTGACCTCTCGCTCTCCCTCGTAACCTCTGTGCTTGGTCCTCTGGCCTCCATCGGCTTGGCCGTGCTGCTCTACGTGTTGCTGCTGTGGTGGCAGCTTCCTCATCCAGCTGCTGGCGTTCATCCACTGCACCGTCGGGCGGCGCGCTCAAGAGAACGAATGCGCATCGAGGAGACGAAAACAACAGGTGCTCTACCAGCGGCTTGTGGGATGCAACGATCGTGAGGCAACCACCAGAGCGTTTGGAATCTCTTGGGTTCGAATTAATACAGAGTGTCCAGTGCTCTCGTGAAACATGTTGTTTGAGACCCTTGATGGCGACGGTTTTGATATGTCACCTGTTGCATGTACACTCGGTTGGGCTCCTTGAGCGTGAATGCGAAGAGGATGTAGGGGGTCAGTAACCGACCTGGGTACCCTGGCGTCGTACGTAACCTGGAAGGTGTCGATCTCGGCTACGCGGGCCAGGGTGCTCCTGGTGGAGTGGGTGGCGTGGGTCTGCAGGGCGCTCTTGAGCAACGCCTTCCGCCTGGCAGCCGAACGCTGCTTTTTAAGTCCTCCCACGCCTCGAGATGTCTTTCCTGAGGCCTCGGAGAAGGCCTTCGGTTTGGGGTGGTGACGGCGTGGCCACTCGATATCTCCGCAGTCCTGACGTATCCACGATGCCTGGCACTGCGGCGCACAGTGCCCCACCAGGACAAGAAGGTGCGCGGGTCCGCGGTGCAGCAGTCTGCCGAGCAATTGCAGTGTGTAAGTGCAGACGCTCGGCCATGGCCAAGATCTGAGTGGAGGTCCGCGAGGACTTTGTCAGTTCGAGGGCATCGCAAGACCGCTCGAAGCATGCGCACAAGATCGTCGCTGAGCTGAGCTGAGCCGCCTGAGCAGGTGTCAATGCCGGCCAGGTGCCCACCTGGTATAGTCATCTCGGACAGCCCTTCGGGGTTTTCTCCATTCAGTCACTGTGGCGTGTGGCGTTCACGGGCTGACCTTCGGCATCCGTGCACGCGCCGATCGCTATCATCTGCTACCCGCAGTCTGAGCTCGATCTTTGGATCCAGCAGATCTTTCTGGGCCTCCTTCGTGAAAGGGGCAGTCGCGAAGCTGTAATTCAGGTCTCCTAGGTGTTGGCCTGGTCCCGAACCTAACTGCTGTGGAAACGCCATACAGCTCCTGCATGGCAACCCAGGAGCCTGCATGACGGGGCACGCCTGCTGAATATACTGAGCCAGGCCGTCCATGGCCTCTGGAGGTAGACCTGCTTGGCTGAGTATGTGAGCTCGCATGCTGTGTCGTAGAATGCTTGCGCCGCGTCCGTGGGCAACAGCAGCGCTGACTTGTCCGTGGCTGAGCCTGGCTGTTGAAGTAGTCACCGCTCCAATGTTGCAGTGTCGGTGCCGCCGTGGGCCACTCCTCCGCACTGGCGGGGACCTGCGCGCGGAGGAAGAGGAGGAGGTGGAGGAGGAGGAGGAGGAGGAGGAGGAGGAAGAGGAGGAGGAGGAGTCGAACCATGTCCCTAGCACGACTTCGCAGCCGAGAGGACCCAAGGATCGAGCTGTAGTTAAAAGATGTGGCGACGGGCGCCCCCTCTTGAATCCAGGCCAGTCGTAGATTCCCTTCGACTGTACTGGTTCGTTAATCCGTTGAGAGTCCACATCTCGGCTACCTGGCTTTCTGGTTCCAGAGGAGTTTCGTCGAACCCGGTCAACATTGGTAGTTCTGTTTGTTTTATGTTTATCTTGGATCTTGCGCCGATCGCGCGCACCCTCTTGAAAGTCTGAAGGTGATCCATCTCTGCGAGACCACACGCTTGACATATCCTTAGCTATCTCCTGAGCGTGCTGACGCGAGCCGCATCGAAGCTGGCACTGAACAATCTTGGTGGATAGCAGTAGACACACGTACCTCATGACCTGTAGCACCTTGAATCTTATACACAGCTGGGTAAGGAAGTCCTGACAGTTACCCTTCGAGATCGTGTCGACGAGACCCGCGAGCTCGAAACGACGGATCCTGTTCCCAGGATGGTTCAGGGAGATATCCCTGAGCCTTTTTCTGGGCATCTTTGTAGGCGCCGTTTGTGGAGTGCAGCAGGTGGACACGAGGAAGGCCTTGAGTCACCCTGGTGACAGCGGACCTCAGCCAGCCTTTCCAATCATGAGCCCCCAAATCCAGCGATCGTCTGGCGTATCTCCTCCATTGATGCATCTACGAGTATTAAGTGCCCGTGACTGGCGCCGCACAAGGCCGAACAATCGTAGCCAATCTCGCTAACCTCCGTGATATGAAAACATCCCGAAAGTGCCGAATGATATTAGCTGGAGGAGGGGGGAGAAGGAGGAGGAGGAGAGAGGAGGAGGAGGAGGAGGGAGGAGGAGGAGGAGAAGGCGGAGAAGGAGGAGACGGAGGAGGAGAAGGAGGAGGAGGGGGAGCAAGGGAGGAGGGAGGAGGGAGGAGGGGGCAGGGAGCAGAGAGGAGGAGGAACAGGAGAGAGGAGGAGGAGGAGGAGGAGACGGAGGAGGAGGAGGAGGAGGAAGAGGAGGAGGAGGAGGAGGAGGAGGAGGAGGAGGAGGAGGAGGAGAAGGAGGAGGATGGGGACAAGGAGCCCAGGCTCCCTCTGAAAGCTGCTCGCGAAGTTTGAGCCTCGAAAGTAGAAGTTGTTGGGTCAAGTCGAAGTTGTTGGGTCTGTTTGTCAGGGGCAACGCTTGGAGGGGGGGGGGAACAGGTGCAGTGGGGCATTTTTGTTACCCCCAGTCCCCAAACCGCACACTGGTCGCCGACAAGGGCCGGATAGTCCGCCCCGCCAAGGCACGTGCG